GAACTCGAGATCACTGGCAAAAGCAACAAAGTTTCATGCTTTATATGATATGTAACAACAATCTGATAATCAAAGCAAACAAATGTCTATAAAGCAAAGGACAAATACCTGCTCTCTCATTGCAGAAAGCCAAATTGCAAGGGTCAGATATTTCCATGAAGTACTATATGCAGAGCTGACATTTCTAGGGTGCGCCCTCCCCCCACCCCAAGTCTTTTCTCAGCTACATCTGGCATGTAAGAAGGAAGTATATATTTATGGAACAATTCTCTCTGAAGTGGTGCCTTGGGTGCATGTTGCATCAGTTTAACATATGCAAAAAGGGGGGGGGGGAGAGAAGGTTATACTTTAAAAATATACCAAAGGGGGGGGACATCCCCCTTCTAGATTGAGAGCAGATATATAGAAAGACTTACAACTCACAGATTTGACTTTTAACAGGCCTGATCAAATTTCTCCACTGAAAGCAGCAATGCTTAAATATGATGTGTGTTTTTTGTGTGTGTTTAACACATCCAAAATCTTAAGATTCTACACATATATATCACTTGACAAGCTAAACTACAATCGCAAGTATCTTTATGAATTCTCATAAACTGCTTTAAGGAAGAAGAAAAAAGTTGTGCTTGGTTTAGGCTAATTTTATTGGGAAGACAGAACATGAATTCTGAAAAGAGAATGGACAGAGTTCCTACTCCAGTCCTCTGAAGATGCTGGCCACAAAGACTGGCGAAACGTCAGGAAGAACAACTTTCAGAACATCGCCAAAGAACCCGAAAAACCCACAACAACCATTCTGAAAAGACATCGCTCAACTTTCTCAGTGTAGTGGGCAGACTATTTCTAGTGAGGGTTTAGGTTGTTATCTATCAAAGCCAATGGTCTGTTTCTAGCCTTTAATACTATAATGCTCAAAACACAACTGTTTTTAACTTTCATTTTAAGAGGTGATCTGCAGAGGTTCTCCATTTAAACAATCCTCCTCTCCCCATTTTTAATAACAAATAAAGCTCAATGGTAATAACTGCCATACCTCCAGTGCCTTTCATCTTGATATGAATTAGGAGGCTGGCTAAATACGGCAACGCTGATTTGTGTATTAAACTGGGGCAAGCAGCACACATTGGGCTAAAGACAACTGGCTAACATCCCATGATTTTAAATGGACTCACTTCATGCTGGAATAACTAATGCTAAACATAGTGTATTGCTTTAATCTTTGCATGCTACAACTGCTTATGGAATGAGTTAATCTTGAGCTTTTCCGGTAATTTCCCTTAGCTGTGTTAAATGCTAAGATACTACTAAGACTTCTCTCCATCCTTTTCTTTTTGCTGCATACGCTCTGGAACTAAATTACTAGCTGGAGAGAGAGATCCACCTTGACCCTTGCATAGGATTTTTTTTTAGGTTGTCTTCTCCCTTTGACAATACTAATACAGAAATCTCTCAGCACACATGTCAAGTGAAATGGAATGCATTCAACTCCTCAGTGACTAAACACAAGTCTAGAAGCAGAAACAAATGTAAACTACTCAGGAGACATTTTGTTATCTTTGAGCTGAAGACTTACACAATGCAGTTTGTATGCTTTGATATTCAAAACAACAAAAAGGGAAGTTAACATTGAACAAAAATCTGTTTACTTCAATGTCTAGTGAACCAGATCCTCATTGTCTAGATCAGCAAGGTGATGCCTAGATATACCATATTCTAAAGTAATGCTGTACACTCGTACCTCGGTTTATGAACGCCTCGGTTAACGTCATTTTCAGTTTACAAAGCAAAATCCATGGAAAATAGTGCCTTGGTTTACGTTTTTCTCTGGGTTTTTTTTTTTAGTACAAAGAAAGTTTTCCCAGGATGCATTGTGCCTGGAGGTTTGTAGCGCCATCTTCATTCCTATGGCAATTTGCGTTTCGGTTTACAATTTTTCACTTTACGTAACGTCCCGTAGAACACATTAATTTCTTAAACCGAGCTACTACTCTATAGGACTGCACCCTAAGTTGTTCACAGAATGGTAATCCTTTCTACCAGCAGTGCTAGTAAGAGACTGAATTATAAGATTGTCCAATTCTCTGTTTAATAATCAAAAATACAGGATTGTTTAAGGCAAGCCATAATCTTTTACCCTCAGAATCTCCTTTATACAGTAGCTGTTACTGCAGTAGTAATGATGATGATGATGATACTCTACAGAGAACAATGTTAAGGGTGATGTGAAATATTTTGACCATTTTAAAAAATGTGCTTATTAAACTTTGAAAATATTCTAATAAAAAGACACAGTATTCCTTAGTGGAATGAAAGCTGTGAGAAGATATTTCCACCTGATGCTTGCTAGGTTTTTATTATTAAAACAAGTTGAGCACCTGGGCTTGGCAGAAAAAAATGTGGAAATCTAAACTGCAAGAGTGGAAAGCTTAAGCTGTTTCACACATACATTAGGCATCCTGTTTTGAGATTATCTCAAAGACGTTATGTTTTAATACTAGTGATCTGTTTTCTTTCACAATAGTGTGAGTAATTCTTGCAGTAAAGTGTTTTACTTCAGTACAAAGCATATTTTATATTAGTGTGAAAAAAGTAGATGAAAAAGTTAAGCACATGATCAACGTTAAAGTCACTGCAATCAAAATACATCATCTGAGCATATGTTTAATGTAGCTTAACCTACAACCGAGCCCATCTCTTATAAGACCAGACAACTGTAGAGCTGGCAGGAACTCCAAGGATGACAGAGTCTAACCTGCCCCCCACTCTGTAGCAGGAAATCCACAGATAAAATATCACTGATACAAGGGTATCCAACTTTTGTTTAAAACCTCTAGTGAAGGAGAGTTCACCATCTTCTTAATGATCACAAACACGAAGATTTTAAGGCATTTTATTCGCATTACCTCAGATCCAGTGAAATTAGTTTTGTGTTAGCATGCTGAGTGAAAATACGGGTGGGGGGGAGGAGGGCAATGATTCTGCAATTCTTATCCGAGCCCACTCTGCTCCACATAGGAACCCTTCATAAGCTACTACAGTCACATGGAAGCTGCTTTTCTCTGAATGGCTTCTGGTGGATGGGGTAAGGTTTAACTGGAGATTAACTATAGAATCAGAATGATGGTTGATTTAAACTAGGGATGCAGAAAATATGGCATGTGGATCACATATGACCTACTGTGGCCCATAAAGCAGCCCTATTCTGAGAAAAAATGCCAGTGTAAAATAGGCCAATTATGTATCCCAAATCCTCCAGAGCTGAAACTAGTCACTCAAAGGCTGTTTACTTATCAATCTGTTTTAGGCACGAAATAGGCCTTTAAAAACTGGAGAAGTGAAATAGACTTTAAATGCCCTCTTGTGCTATCTAGAGAGGCTCCTGGGAAGAGGATTTTCGACACCTTTCTTTTCTTCTCTCTCTCTCTCTTTGGCATGAAAACTATTGGGTGATTGTGCTCTGCTAAGGGTGAGGGGAAAAATGGATTCTAGATCTTTGAAGCTTCCCACTCCTTCTTTGAGCAATAGCCAAGCAGGAGCAGCTCATGGAAGAGTGGCTGCCATATATCTCTCAGCAGGTGTAAAGGCTTCCAATAATTAATGAGGATAAAATGTGTTTTAGTTCCTAAAAGGCACGAACTACAGTGGTACCTCGACTTACGAACTTAATCCATATTGGAACAGCATTCGTACGTTGAAAAGTTTGCAAGTCGAGGAAAATTTTTCCATAGGATTGCACTGAAAACCATTTAATCTGTACCTGCTGTTTTTCTTTCTTATGTCGAGGCGCCGTTTTTAAGTCGAAGCTGGTTAATCCGTACTCTACCACTAGGGGAGAGAATTTTTTTCTTCTTCTTTTGACCTAAGATGAACTTAGGTCAAAAAATGGGCAGGAAAGGTTTTTTTTTAGTTTGCAAGTTGAGGCTCTGTTCGCAGGTCGAAGCAACGTTTAACGAACAGAGCCTTTTGTAACTCGAAACGTTCGCAAGTGGAGACATTTGTAAGTCAAGGTACCACTGTACTGTTGGGGGGGGGGGAAGAAATGCTTTAAAATACAATTGCTCCAGAACTTTGGAAAAAGGTTTTGTTCATAATTTACTTAAGCCACGGTTAAATTGGCTTTAGTGCAAAACATGAAGAATGTCTGTATATAGTGCATTCACTGCTAATGTTCAGTTGAAGAACCTAGGAACAAAGAGGAGAGAGTGCATTCTACTGGAGATTTGGAAGACTGGATGTTGGTTCCAGCTCCTTCACCTGTCTTTTCTGGTGTGCAGGAACAAGCACAGGGAGGCTAAGCTCAAATCTTGTTGCATTTTCTCCTTATATCTGAAGGCTTTTAAACCCTTGGTGATTTGGAGTCTGCAAGACACATGTGCAGCACATACAAAAAAGCAGCTAGCATCTATCTAGGTTCCCTCCCATTCTCTTAGTAACGAGAACAAGCACAGCCTGAAAGGATAAGCTCTATGAAAGAGTAGAAAGGCCCACCATCTATCCACAAATGGTTATTGGGTTTTCATTGTATATAAATTTTATAAACATCCCTATACTCTTTCATAGTTTTTGAATCCTGTTATATATATTTTTTTTGGGGGGGGGACACAAAAATATCTTAATAAAAACAGTTTTTTTTGTAGGGAAAGATGGTAAGACTAGTAGCTTCATTCAGACTGTAAGAGGAGGAACAGAAAACGTTAAATGAATGTAAGTTCTAACTCCAAATATAAACAATATGAAATATAAAAACAATAGTTGCTTTTATAATAATATAAAGGAGAGGCAATTTCTGGCAATGAAGTAGAAGCATGTTTTCAACAGTAACACACTGCATTAATAATGTTCAGAAAATGCCACTGCCATAGAAACAAAAATGATAATAGTTTCTGGGTGACTGAATTGTACTCTCCCCCTTAAAAGCCTGGAAAAAATATGTTAAAATTGCTGCATACGTCATTGTTTTCATTATTTTTTAAATGCAATGTTTAATTTTTATAGCTTACCATTAGCGAATGTCTATTGGCTGAAAGAAGGCCTGTCCCATATCCTGACCCAAGACCTCCCATTGCTCCATTATGAGAGGACCCTATTAAGCCATGCATGTCGCTATGACTACCAGGCATGGCAGTTGAAGGCCCCACTGCATGATTCCGGAGAACATGAATAGCATCATCCAGTCTTTCCAAGCGGTCTTCAATCCGGCTTTGCTGTTTGTTTATGAAAAACAAATCAAGAGAAACATCAGCAAACGTGAAGGGCCGTTCAATTTAAGAGACAAAACTCTGAGATTAAGAACTGCACATTTTCGACTTCTGTTGCTTTTGTTGGGCAGGGGAATATCAAGAAACGTGTTCACAGGTGGGCTGACTCTGAATCAGCATTTGTGTTATGAATTTCTCACCCCCACAGAAAACTAAAATTCCTTTCATGAAACAATGGAACCAAACCAGCCTTCTAGGCAACTAAAAAAAGACTTTCATTTTCATGGGCAAAACAGGTTCATTGATTCCTCATGAACATAACCTCTACAGCACATATGTTGCCCTCTGATTTTGGAAAACATTTTTGTATCTCTTAGAAATACCAAATTGTATTTCATCTAAAAATGTTTAAATATAGTGAGTTGCAAATCAAACGTGTTTATTCCCAGGCTGAAGTGAGGTGAAAGTTAGTAGGCTGTGCACTGTGACCCATACCAAATTTTTAAAGGGCTTTTTATACCAATGGAATCAGAGTAAGAAGGAAAATCCTAGCCTCCCATTCAATTCCACTGTTCCGCAGAGTACACACACCCAAACAAGCTTTAGAACATTAGCACTAGTTGAACAGGTTTGCTTCACATTAATAAACCTTAAAGTAATGCAACCAGTATTAAATTAAATGCACACAAAACAAAACCATGCAATAAACCATATAATGCAATCTTGTCCACAAACAAAACCTTGCGTACTCTTTGGAGAAGCTCCCCTATTGTCCCTAGACAGCACCTTCCTCTTGTCTGAAGTAAAATAAGAATAGTGGTGTTGCTTTGGGGTAAATTTAACATGTGCTTTAATAGGTTTCTTCTTTTTCAAAGAAACTACATGACAAATCAAAGTACTGCAATATATAGGTTGATAGCACTCTGCCAAGCATTTTTACACTACGGTATCAAAAAATACTTTCAAAGAGGGCATTATTCTTATTGTGGTAAAAGGGGAATGGCAACAGCCTGATAATAATAAATTTGTTTAAAATATTATATGTTGAGGCGTGGAGAACTTAACGTAAGCTGTTTTTCATCTTTATTTGGACTGAATGGGGATTCTGAGTTTCTGATCCTTTTGAACAGAGCACCCCCCTTCCTTCCCCCTCCTCTTATAACATAAGCCAGATTTTCAAAGTTTGAAATGACAATACCTGTACTGTGTTACCTTTCAAAGTAATACGCTCACAAGAATATTCCTTTAGCAAAATTACACAATGACTAGTAATGTTTAATAATGTTGATACTTCTCTCAATGTAATATGCAATGCTTACTCACTACATTTTTATTATTGGGGGGTTAAATTTGAGGCTATTTTTTACAGTTTCTAGATGGATTTCTTTTTCAATGATTAAACAATAAAATAAGACAAATATAATTCTGAAGGGCTATCTTTATATTAATGAATTAATGGGGTATGAAGGTTTGTAATGTTTTAATAAGTAACTCTCTAAACACTGTGATGATTGTTTAAGAACTGCAAATCCATGCTCCATGGATGGCTCTTTGCATCCTGGCCCAATAAAGACAAAACCAAATAAAACATTTTCATTGCCTGTTGTCTGTGCATAATTACAAGGGGAAGATACCAACTCCAGCACTATTACTAACGTGTGTGTGTGTGTGTGTGTGTTTTGTTTGTGTGTGTGTGTGTGTGTGTGTGTCTGTCTGTCTCTCTCTCTCTCTCTCTCTCTCTCTCTGTGTGTGTGTGTGTGAAAACCTTACAGATGATGCCACTGCCTTCTTACAATTGTGTAATCTATCAGTCATCACCTTGTGTTGAGATTAAAATACTATATGCCCTGAAAGTCAGACTTAATAGGCTTTATGGGTATATATAAGTGAAGGATAGCATTGAAAGTTGATTTCTTATGAAAGTACCTGCCATTGGCATATCACTATCACATCAATGATTTGCAAAAATGACCCTCTGACATAAACTGTTTTATGTGAATGTATCTTCTGTAAGACCAACAATTTGGTCTTTGTAGGATTACAGCAACACCATTTAGTAATAAATAATATCAAAACTCTCCTCATAAAAGAAGGGCATGGTATTTTTAACAGGCTATATTTTGATATGTATAGCTGCTGTCATGCTAGCTGCTAACATGGAGTTAGCTTGTTAATGTTAAATTTTACATGACTTATTACAATGGAATCATTCCTGAAAGTTTTGCAAATCTGCTTCTTTCTTTTGATATACATTATTGCTTACTGTCACCAGTGGACCAGTTCTTACGGCCTATAAGTGTGGTTTTGAACTGGTCCTATTTCACAAATTAAATACTAGAAAAAGCTTATGAAAGTTTTCTGTCTCTTTCTTCATGCTTTGGCTAGCTTCTTTCCTTATCCTTCCACTAAAAAAACCCTACTGTACTCATTATTTCTTTAAATTGCCTAGCTAGAACACTCATGGAAGATTCCTGTCTTAAGTGTAATCATAACACACAGTGCAGTCTGTTTCACATAATGATTGCTTGTTCTTTATATTCCTGTTGTTCTTCCAAAACAAGCCACTGTTCCATATATCCTACCCTGTCTTCTTCTATGCCCAATTCTCCACTGTCTGCTACATTTCTGCATGTTTGACTGTACCACTGGCGATCAGTTAGTATAAAGAAAAAATGTAGCTTAAAATATTTCCTAACTTATTGGGAGCTCTTCATACTAGCAAGTCTGGAAATGTCAGAAAGAGTGCAAAAAGCCCACAACAGTGTAACCACCAGCAAAAGCAAAGCCTGCATTAGAAACATGGACAGGAAAAAGAAATTAACAGACAGCAATAAAATACTAACACCTAGGTCACCAGTCAAAGACATACCAAAGAGTGTAAGGGACCTTCATAATTGGGAGATGATGATGCTTGCCCTCCATTTCTAGACCAAACAGCTGTGCCTGCTAATAGTAAAATGGGAGTTACTACTGGAACTATGCAAATAAAATGCCTGTACACATGTAAATACTATTTTCCAAAAAGACATACAGAACATATATGTACAGTACTTTCAAAATAAATGTTTAATGTGGTGATGGTGGGGTAACTTTACAGCAACACATTGATAAGAAATAACTAAAAACATTCCTTCAAATTTACTTGCTAACAAGAGTTAATTATTGGGAGTTTTTCCTAACAAATGTTGCACCAGAAAGAGAGGTGTTCCTGGGGTTCCTATTAAAAGCAGTTTTATAAAATAATAAGGGAAATAACTCTGCTAGCAATGATAGTAATATTTTTTAAACTCAAGTCATCAAATCTATGGCAGGTTATGTATATTTTAATAAAGTATTTCTTTGTATATAGATTATAAAATAAATTTTGTTGTTCTGTAAATTCTGCTCCTTTTAAACCAACAACTGAAGGAAAAGTTCCTGTAAAATATGCTGACATGCATTTGTATATTTACAGTTAAAGCCATTGTCTCACTAAATAAAAGCATCTATCCTTAATACTACTGAAAGAAATTGCTTTGACACTGCTAAACTCTGATTAGTTAGCCAACTCTCTATTTTTTCCTAAACTGTTCTTCAAATACCAAAGGGTCAAAAGTGTAATATGTCGTTTTTCCAACAAAGTCACACTGAATGACATGGGATCAAATGTTGCTTTGGAAGCACTCCCCTTGAGAATGTGTTTATGAAGCATCATAATCTGGATTACCTGTGGAGTCACTTTCCCTTGGATAACTGATCCTCAGAAATGTATCCTAGAACTTTACTAAAACTGTACACCTGCTTTATGCTAGAAGCGCTTGCCTTACTAGGAACTCAGGACATTCTTCTTTCTGTCTCCTTTACATTTATTTATACTGTTCAATTTTCAGAATTTTGATGTTTTTTAAATCCACCTAGGCAAATGGGTGGATGACCTACGGGATGAAATTACATTCTAGATCTGCCTTTGACTCCATTTGATATATCAAAAAGGGACTGAAATTTAAGTCCTCAACTCATAGAACTGCATGTTACAGTATCGTATTTGCCGGCGTACAAGACGACTGGACATATAAGACGACCCCCCCCCCAACATTTCCACTCAAAATATAGAGTGGACGGCTCTGCTGCGGTGCTGGTGGCGGCTGCCCAGGGCTCTGCCCAGGCCCGCCCTGGAAGTTCATGGCCGGTGACGAGGCCTGAGGAGGGCGAGGAGGAGGGGAAGCGGCTGGGTGGGTGGCGGCAGTGGAGGAGGAGGAGGGGAAGCGGCTATCTGGCGGTGGGCGGGCAAGCAGGCAGCTGGCTCAGTGGCGCACTGGGCAGCCCGGCGGCAGGCTCGGGCCGCTCAGGCATGGCCCGCTCTGCTTCCCTCCCTCCATCTGGACTGCCCGCCTGCCTTCCTCCCCGATCGGCATGGCCCCGCGTCACTCACTCAACAGCGGCGGGTCCTTCCTGGCCCAACTGAAGTGCACCTGGCGTATAAGATGACCCCCCACTTGGAGGCATTTTTGGGGGCCAAAAAAGTCATCTTATACGCCGGCAAATACAGTATTTAGATGGTTCCTTAAATTATCTTCCTTCAGCCTGATGACCTTCAGATATTTTCGGTTCCCACAGGCATAGCCAGCATGATCCACATTCAAAGATGATAGCTACTGTAGTCCAAAATAGCTGCAGGGCTCTAGGCTGGGGAAACATTTCCCATACACAGACTTTCTACCATTTACACAAGGACAACTCTAGTATCATGTGCCCATATGTACCTCCCATGTGCCCATATGTACCTCCCTTGCAGTTCCATGACCCGCACCTACAGAGGTGAAAGTCTAGGGGGGAAAAAACCCTAGAAACCCCCCTTCCCGTTTTTCCCCCGGTGGGGGTGGGGGAAATGCAAGGGAAAAAAAACTTTTTTTTCTGAATTTCCTCCAGTTTCTTTCTGTTTTTCATTTCCAGGCCTTCATATCTTTAGCCTCATCACAGGAAGAAATAACTGAAGAGGAAACCTGTGAATAACCAAGTATTGTCCCATGTATCTATTCACACATACCAGAGAGCATAATTAGGTACGTTATGGGAAGGGACAACTTGGTAGATAGAGAAATTAGCTGATATAGTGAGCAGGCCAGACTGCACTGGATAGATTTAGCAAGTTCTGGCACTCTTGGGCGAATTTCTCTGGTAGAACGCTTTTCTTCCTTTCATGCTTACATTGTACAGATGCAGAGGTGACTACTGCATCCTCCAAAGGAGACCAACTCTCTTATGAGAATAGTTAGAACCAATTCATACGACCATTGTAAGATGGATCCTTTATCTCTTTCTCAGTAATCCTTGAAACTCAACAATAAAATAGATGATTGATGATTACAGAAGGATGCTAGAAAACCAGGATTCGTCCAGTAGCCCTCAAGTTTATACTTACCCATTTCTACAAGTATCCAATCCAGGCTCTATGAATTATTAGGAAGATACAAAACTGTTTTATACTGAATTAGACAATTACTTTTCTCTCAACATTTTAGAATCTAAGTATCAGCGGCTGCCCAGGACCTCTGATATGGTTAAGCCTCCCTAGTTTTACTTGATGGTATGAAAGTTCACTTTGAATCTTTCATAGGAAAACACCTGCACTTTATCTTTGACTTCTGGCACTTCTCAAAAGATTAATATGGTGGGAATTTCATAATATTTCTTGGTTACATAAGGGGCAAATGTAAGAATTTCCTACCATTTTATAAAATTGAAATGTTCAGTAAAATATAATTTTAACCACAATACCTGAGAGAGAAGGGGGAGAACCAACAGGAGTTGAAGGATTTGATGAAAAGCTGTTGTTGGTGTGATCTGGAGAGTAGATCTTTAAAAAATGATAAAGAATTAATCTAAAGCCATTAATGAGTGGATGCAGACAGAGGTATGGCACTTCTATTAATTAGGAAAGGTAAACAATTATCTTTCCTCATAATTATTAACTTTTGAGAAAAATATGCTATAAGGAGTCAGAACAACATGACAAAACATTTTAAAAAAACAACAGTCATGATGAATGGACAGAACTAATTGTAACAGGATTTTCTCCTTATTTAAAATAATCTTGATAGCTCATACAGTTCATCTTATGGTGGAAATGTATGCTATTTGATATTACCTACATAAATACAGAATAGAAGTTTTCAGAGACTTAGTCTGCTTTAGGCTAAATGTCTTTAATAGTTACAAGAGAATTATGACTTAGGGAAGGAAGCACTGACATATAGTTCTGTGGGTAATGTTATGACAGCAAGCTCTAAAAGTATACCTGCTGCAATGAGAACATAGCTGTACCTATTTACGTTGAGTTCATGTACTATGTTATTCAGGTGAGACTAACATGATATCAACTCCTCTGAACAGGTGAAACTTCTGTTATCACTAAGGACGTGATTAGAGGCCACAGATCACTGATTCTTACTACATCAATTACCAAGTAATGGGCAGCATGCTGGGAATATTTATCGGCTACTGTTTAAGCCGAACATATTAACTCTTTCTCTGAGTCCTGTGTAGCCAATTAAACTGATTAACTCCCAATCTTGTCCCCTGTTAATTAATGTCTTAGGGTACCAGTTAAAGCAGATTTTGTACTGTATCCATTATATCAGGATTGTACTAGTTTTGTCCTTGCAACATGCATTAACTGGTTTCGGAAAATGTCAATTCTCATGAGAACTCAGTGGAACCCACTCTGCCCAGAAAATAAACTACAGTGATTTGTTTTATTTTGGTGTTTTTTTTTAGAAGCCAGCATATATCATATACTAAGCAAACTACAGTATGGTCTGCAGCAGTATTTTAAATAAAAGAAAATGACATCCAGACTTAAAACAAGGTAAATAAATAATAACACAAAATTAGCAGATGGCAATTTGAGGTTAACAGTGACTTTTAAATACCCATCACGGAGGGAGGGGGCATTAAACACTAATTCAGCTGTAAGGAAGCTGCTTTCCTATCAGTGGGTTCTGTGCAGGCAACATAGGAGTTAAATTTCTCCAACACATGAATTGGGCTGATGCCACACTCCTGACCACAGAATCAGAATCCCACCAGCAGTGGCCAATTCTGTGGAAAGGGTTATGTGACTGGCCCTTGGCCATGTGGATGGGTCATTAAAAATGCACCTCAGCCATGCAGCAGCTCCCCACAGAAAAGCAGTTCCTAAGGCTAGGGTAGTGTTGAAAGGCCCCTGAAGCCAGAAATGAAAACAAAACAAAAAAAATGGAAAGGAAAACCTCTTCTCAATGCATCTTTTCTCCGACACAATTCTCAAATTACATTTGGAAGTCACAGCTGCAATGATTCTTTGGAGACAATTTGTGTTGCACACAGCCCATCCAGTCTTTTGGTTAAATAAATATATATCGGGGCTTCAGTGTCAAGGGTATGTCTCGTCTATAAATATTATTGACATGGCTTCCTCCAAAAGTACTCTGGGAACTAATTCTGAGAGGTGGACTAGGGATTTTGAGCAAAACGTTCAGCACTCATAAAAGAACTAAAGTTCCCAACATTTTTCATACCAAAAAAACACCCAACCCCAAACACAAAACACGTATCCTTGAAACTATTTAAAATTCCTCAAATTTGAAGTGGAAGTGCGCCCTAGGTTCTCACAGATGCAGACATGCAAAAACCCATGGCGTCTTTCAAATGTAACAAAAGGAGTAATGCTCAGAATGTCTATCCTGTAGATCGAACCGTTTTGCTGAGTAATATTGTGCAAAAATTCTCAAGCGCAATCTGTAATGAACCATTTATTCTGAACTGTTCCCATTACCAGAAACCTTTGTATTCAGTATGATACTACTTTTACATTACATTATTTTAAAAGGCAGTCCATCCTGCTTGGTGCTCAGATCCCTAAATATTTGATAACTGCTGCAACTCAGGTGGATGCCACCCAAGTGATTTCAAAGCAATATTTCCTTACAGATGCAAGTGCTTTTCCCAGTGCATCGCCTGTCTGTGAACTTCCTGCTGCTCCACTTCCTCTGTTTGCTGAAAAACAAAAGGAGGAACATTTAAAAAATGATACAAAAATAATTCAGTGTTTTATTTATGATTCGGGTATTTATAATTTTGATTGCATTCCATGAATCTTTAATTTGCATCAATTCTGTTTTTCTTTTTTAAAGAACATTTCAAACATATTTCAACCACTGGAGTTCCTTCTGCAGGATTCACATTGCAAATTACATGTACAGTATGTACAGTTTCTGGCTGTTCTAAATATCCAGTCTCACACTGCGTACTTATTGACTGCTGGGTACTTATTACAGGCATGACACCTATTTGAAAATCTGTGGTTATGGGTCTGCAAGCAATCTAGCCTGACCTCATACTATACAGAAAAGCATCTCCTACCCAATATAGTTTACTATGCCAATAGAGGTATCTGGAAATTTAAGCCGAAGTTTGTTGACATGATCCTGAACAAGTGTATACGGGAAGGATTATGATAACTGAATAAATATATTGTAATACACACCTATTTTGAAAAAGATAATATCTCCCTCCTGACAACATTACCGCATTTGATCAGTTGTTGATTCTGACTGATGGTGACTCGCATAGAGTTTCCAATACGCATGCAGTATTTAATTTGCAACAGACAAGTAGTAATTTGAATCCAGTTCTCTTTAGTTGTGCTCCAACACTCTATCATCTATACGGTTATGTCTCTTATAATAGCATTATTAGCAAAATACTGTTAAGATTTCCATTATTATACTTAGGGTCTAGTTTTGACTATGCTGGAAACTGAGCTCAAGTGCCTAATCCTCATTTGGTAAACATAATAAAATCAAAAAGTCAGGGTAATCCCTGCTTATTGTGTAAACACAACTATTGTTCATGAGGATGACACTCTGATATGCGATGTTGTGTTTAGTAACTCAAAATCCTGGGACAATGCCTAGAAGAATTGTTTCCCCACCTCAGTATTTCTTTATATGCTTATACATCTAACTGCTTTCAAAAATATAGAGTGAGGACTTCTTGTCTGCCTCTTTGTTGTGTACATGTGGCATACACAGTTGTTTCTCAATCTGCCAGAGTTCTGTTTACAAAATAAGTAATGTGTACGTGTCAGAGTTATGTAACAACTGGTCCATACAAATAAACAGAATTGGCCTTAGGGCACAATTTCCAGCAGGCTTAGGAAATGTTGATCTATCAGCAAGTGACAATGCTATCTAAAACTGATTACAAATGTATTGGTCCCAGGAGAAGTATTCTGATACAAGAGTTACTAGGTACAACGGGGCAAAATCTCTGACTTGAATATAAGCTATGGTTAACTTTAAAAAAACATGGAGAAAACGAGGGTCAATTTGATATTTTTACTCTTCCTAAGATGGTGCACTGACACAGCAGATTGAAAATCATGTTCCCCCTGTGCCATATGACAGTTTATCACCCCACTGCATTGGAAGCTTAACACGCTTGTAAAAAAATTAAATGCAGTATTATGTGACTGTTCTAATAATAAAATCACAGTAAAACTAAGACCTCAAGGAAAGGCACGCATAATGTTTCCACTAAAAAAGCTACATACTGCCATGCGTCATGTCATTCAAACATGTCATTTCAAGTGAGAGTAGAAAATAGGGCTAATACATGAATGAGGCAGATATTCTAGAGTAATCTTTAGCATATGCTGCATTAAATATCTACCGGTAAGAGGCTGCTTAAATGCCACATAGTTTTGAACCTTTCAAAACACATGGGTAATATTCTGCACAGATTTAAGCATCACTTGAAGTTAATAATCTCACATGATCGACTTATAAAATGGTTTTTTTGCTTGGAAATATCTGTTTCAGATATTGTGAGTTAATATTCAAGGACTGAACAGGTATGTTTCCCACTCAAGAGGGAAACCCCAATTTAAAACAGCAGCCAGATCGACAACTTGATAACACATTCTTTTCAGAGAGAGGGAGAAAATATAAGTGCAAGTAGGTGGTATAACACAATGCACAGATGAGATTCTAGTTCTGCACTGTGTAGAGTTTTCTTATGAAATCAATGCACCAAGGGCTCCATCCAGCCATACTGTATTAGTCATACTTATGAAGACATGAAAAGTGATTTTTCCCCTTCCACAGCCTCTGATGAAACCCACAGCCTCTTTTCGGTATTGGGGGAACAAAGAGGTCTTGCATTCATTAACAAGAAGGCAAGTCTTCAACTCACCCATTATGCTATCTGTTCCATTTGCAGGTGGTGTACAGGAAGATGCGCTATAATGGGTTGTGCCACTGCGATGGAAAGTTGACATTGGAGGAAGACTGGAATTGATGTCTGCTGAGGAGTGTGATGGGTAACTCTGAGACAGAAAGCATGACAAGAAAACATTTCAGTCAGCTAAATAATGTTCCAGTATGGCTGGCTCGCCAAATTTCTTTCCACATGTTAAATACTCAGACACACCTGACAGCTTCATGAGGATTTTGTGGTACAATAACCTCCACATAACTTACAGTGGTACATGCCACAGGTGAAAGACTTGGCACAAGTCACAAAGCTTGCCTGCATGAGACTTGAAGCTTACTCCAGGCAACTATTCTTAATTCATTTCAATAAAGTAATGTTAAAGCATATCCAATTTATACCAGGTATTTTCCTTACTTCTTACAGATATATACCATATCCATAAAACCTGGGTGGCAAAGTTTCCACAGGCTCCTAATGGAGCTCTGCAGGCTCCCAGAAAAGCAAAATTGGGATGTAAATGACAAAGTGCACCCCATCAAGTCTCTGGAGTAGAGATATGCATTCGGATTTGGAAATATTTGGTATTCACTGAATAATGCCATATGTGGATAGTTCTCAATATATCCAAAACTGAATTTGATGTTTCCAAATACTGTATCTCCAATAATTCCTAAAATTCTAATAAGTCCCATTTATTCTGATAGATTCCAAAGCAGAAGACTAGGTTTCTACTTGCTGAAGAAGTAAAGTGAAACCTATTTCTCATGCATCCTGGAGTGATTTATTGATAAATGAAACTTAACACTGTGGAACCAAGAGTAGTGGGGAGCAGAGAACTCAGTGTCTCAGGAACAGGGTTGCCATAGTTTTCCTTAGGGTGGAGAGCGGAGTAAGAGTAAAATCTGTAAATGATGTCTGTCTACACCAGGGGTGAGCAAAATGCGCCCCTCCAGATGTTGCTGAACTGCTACTCCCATAATTCCTAGCCCACACAGCCAATAGTGTGAGGAGAGTTGTGTCTAGCCCACATAGTGAGGAATATGAGAAGATTTGGGCCTAGCCCACACAGTGTGAGGAGAGTTGGATCTAGCCCACATAGTGAGGAATGTTGAGATTTGCAGTTCAGGAGTATCTGGAGGGCCGCACTTTGTCCAGGTCTGGCTCTACATCAATGAAATCTAGAAGCCTGCAGAGACATTAGAAGGCATTTTCCCCACATTGGTTCTTTCCAATTGAAGGGTGAGCATAGCTGCTTATAAATCTCTATAGCATTTGCTGTTAGGGTATGAACTGATGCAAGCCTGGACTGCAGCAGATTTCTTTGTGTCCTTTCTGAACCCTCAACTTACATTTTTTTGCTGTTAGGGTATGAACTGATGCAAGCGTGGACTGCAGCAGTTTTCTTTGTGTCCTTTTCTGAACCCTCAACTTACATTTCCAGTGTCTACATCTCACTGTATATTATTTATTTAGTAAAGTTAGGAATAAGATTTAAAATTGGTAGATTCATAGATGAATATGTTAGAAATCAACAAGGAAATATATTAGGTTTAGGTCTCTTTGGGGTATACTAAGTAGGGGAATAGGATTTTGTTATACATAGACAAATATATTAAGTTGCTGATTGTGTGTGTGTAAATTTTCAGTTGGAGAATATGCTCCATGCCAATAGACTGATAGCATAAACAGAAAAAAATGGTTGTCATATTACATTTTAAAGATACAAGATTTGTTTATAAATATTTGTCTCTATTCTGCCCTGTCCAAAGTACACTACATTTTTAAAGCCACAATATAAACATAAACTCTAAAAGCATCCACAAAGACTGAAATGCAGATGATCCACATACTTTAGGACAAATTGTAAATATTGCATGCAAGCTACTCAAAGTTAAAAATTATTGTAAAGGACGCTCTAATTCTACTGAACTCAATGGAAGGAAATTGTGTGGACTGAATTCTCATGCATTACAATCGTAGCTATGTTTACTTGGAAATAAATGTCACTTTTCTAGTAAATATGTTTACCTGGAAGTAATCACAGCAAAAGGAGGGGTTGCTTACATCTCTTCAATTATGTTATCTCTACAAAACATGCTACAGGGGTGCCAAACTTATAGCATTTCCCTATGTCAGAAATAAAATAGTAAAATTGGCAAAATAACGCTTTTGATATTGGATGGAAGTGAAACTTCAGTATGAACATGTGTATACTAAACTCTGTAAAAGTGTGCCTACTAGGTTTTTGGGTCATACACACAGACACTCTCTTTTCAGAGTGAAATATAGTCTTACCAAGCGGTCATGAGGATGAAGACTACAATAGCTACTGGACTGTGGAATATGAGAAGAATTGCCCAACATCCCAGAATAACCAGGCTGATTCATCCCACTGGAGGAGCTCCACGGATCACTGCTGTGATGACCATCTAAAAAAGAGAAAGAAAAAAAAACAGCTTCTTTGAAGGCTGGGTTACCTAACTTCTAATGTATTTCCGGTAAATGTGAAAATTAGCATTCTAATAGGGTTTGATGAACACCTGATGTGTCACTGTACCGGATAATGATTTACAATAAAAGACAGCAATCACAAGTAGGAAGCTATGTTATCACCCTTTTGCCTCCTAAGGACTACTTAATTTTATATAAGTACATGCTCATTATAACTCAGAAGAACAAATGCTATTTAACACCACGAATTAGTCATCTCCTACCCGCAAAGCTTTTTATTACAACTGTTGCCATTTTCATGTCAAATGAGAATATCTACAACCTAAAAAGCAGAGACATCACCTTGCTGACAAAGGTCCGCGTAGTCAAAGCTATGGGTTTTTCAGTAGCAATATATGGAAGTGAGAGCTCGACCATAAAGAAGGTTGACCGTCGAAGAATTGATGCTTTTGAATTGTGCTGCTGGAGGAGGCTCTTGAGAGTCCCCTGGACTGCAAGGAGAACAAACCTATCAGTTCTAAAGGAAATCAACCCTGAGTGCTCACTGGAAGGACAGATCCTGAAGCTGAGGCTCCAATACTTTGGCCATCTCATGGGAAGAGAAGACTCCTTGGAAAAGACGCTGATGTTAGGAAAGTGTGAAGGCAAGAGAAGAAGGGGACGACAGAGGATGAGATGGTTGGACAATGTCATTGAAGCGACCAACATGAATTTGACCAGACTCCGGGAGGCAGTGGGAGACAGGAGGGCCTGGCGGGCTCTGGTTCATGGGGTCGTGAAGAGTCAGACACGATGTAATGACCAAACAACAAAATTGGTATATTTGGGTCCCTAGGGAAAAACTGGAGCTTGTAATTAATTTTCAGTGATATTTACAGAGGGCGAAAGCTACCATTCAGTGTTTGCTCACCATATATACACAGACAAAACACTATGATCGTATTATTTTCCCTTGCTCAGGGACCATCTTCCTATAGATCTTGGTGTCACTACATCTAGGAATTCAAAACATTTAGAACAAATCATCCAGAATTATTTTATTAATGGATCTGGTGCATACAAAGAAACCTAATCTGGGGTAGAATATACCTTTTCAAGAAGCACTTCGTCTCAAGATACACTGTATAGACTTTCGTCTATACTGAAGCAATTTTTGCTCTTGATATCCAAGTAATGACTGCAACTACCTATTCTTGTTCTTCTCCTATTGAAGGTAGTGTTGGCATAGCAACCAACATATTACGCCATTTGAAGTTAAGATGGGAGGGACTTTGGGTGAATGTCTATCACTTAGAGTAACCAGCTGTTTCCCTATGTACCTCAGTTTCTACTTTCCACCTTTTTACCTCAGTCAGGATCTGTCAAAATTTTGTGTCTGTTTAGTAATGAATGAGTTAAGAGTCTGTTAGTGTTTAACAATATCTGTGTTAGAGACAGGTTAAGTAATGAGTGTTTATGTAACCATTTAGTTAGTGAAGAAACTAATGAAGCCAGAAAATTAAGATACCATAATATGTAATCAGTGAATATGTTTTTGCTTCTATTCTGGCATTAAGATTTTGTAAGTAGAACAGAAACATGTTTTATTCTTTCTAAACCAGAGTCTTTTGTTTAGAGACTGCATGTCAGTTGGAGTGAATTGAGGTAAAATCTGACTAAAACTAACTACATTATAAGGTGTGGTGAGATTGAGGGAGACTTGTAATATATTGATTAATGCACTAATTTGCTCTGTGAGTGTCTGGATTTTTTTCTCCACTCTGTTGCTGGAAGTTTGTTTTTTATTTTTTTTTAAACCAGCAATTTCCCACAAACTCTGCCCCATAGGTTGGACAGTCATAACTATACTATCAATGTGGCAGCTTTACACAATGGTGTGGTGCTGTACTCCAATCCAGCCTCCAAGTTTCTTCTTCCCATGCTTTTCCTATATATTTTATCTTGAATTATTGAGTACAACAATCTATACTTTTCATTTCTCATTATGTGGTTGAAGTACCATCACTTTCTGAACTTCATTAGCTTTATGATGTTTTAGTCTTTTTCATTTGTCTCAATACTTCTCCACTGGTCACCTGTTTAATCCAGTAAAACTGTTGCATTCCTGACAAACCCACATTTTTAATGCTTGCATTTTTTTAAAATAGTAGGTTGTGCTAGACGTCCATGATTCAACAGAATCAAAAACATACAGCACTGTACAATACATGTTCTCAAGGTCAATGCTTACTTGTTGTATATCACAGAATCATTAAAAATATAGAATTCAAAGGACCCCATGAGTCTTTCAGTTCAGCCCTCCTGACCAAACAGGAAATCCATAGCTAAAGCATGCCTGAAAGTGACCAGCTAATCTCTGTCTAGAAACAGAATTTACTGTCCAAGGCAGTCCATTCTACTGTTGAACAATTGTTATTGTTATAGTTCAACAAGGTTTCCCAACCTGGGGATTATGACCTCCAAGGGGTCACAGTGTGTTTTCTGTGGGGCCACTATGGTTATCTTTTGTTGCAATTATTTTTATATTTATTACATTAAATATGGTATATACAATATTCTTTTATTTTAATTCTCCTGACCCAAAGAGGCAACCTTTCTTGTAACTTAAATACCCATTTCTTTGGGTCCTACCTTCTGCAGCTATAGAAAAGATGTTTGCTGCCTCTTCCACATGAAAGGTCCTCATATATTTTAAGACAGCTACCAGCTGCCTCTTAGCCTTCTCTTTCCAGACTAAGTATACTTAGCTCTCTTAACTGTATCTCATGGTATTACTGCTTCTCTTGATCTTGACAATATACTCCTGCTGATGCAGCCTGATGCTGCACTTGCATTCTTTCCTGTCGCATCACACTGTTGACACACTTAGTTTATGGTCAACTAAGCCCCTTTAGATCATTTTCACATGTACTACTTGCTGAAACCAACTGAAACACATTTTGTTTTTCTGACTATCTCTTTTAGCTTGTCTCGAATCCCGATTCTGTCTTCCAAAGTATTAGCTACCCCTCCCACAGTTTGATCATGCCCTTGTGGAAATAACTTATAAAGATGCTAAATAATACTGGGCCAAATATAGAACCCAGTGGCACAGCATCTATCTTATCATCTTCTCTCCAGGGTTATGAACAACCACTGGTGAACATTCTTTGGGTATGGCCAGGAAGCTACAGCTCCACTGAACAGTGTATCCTACTTTTTATAATCAAGAATGTCATGAAGGACATCTGCTACAATCAAGATTTTCACAGTATTCCCCTCATCTACCAAACGGGTAGCTCTATCAAAAAGAGATACAGTATACTACTTATTTTTGCTAAATGATTATTCTACTACACTCTTCATTGGGGTGAGTGATACTGAAATCACTTCTTTTCTATCGTCATTTGCTTCCAATTAATTTTTTTAGTCCAGTGCAAGCCGAGGCTGATTCTAAGTTCAATCATACTCACAGAAACCACAAATGAAATCCCACTGATCTCAAGTATTATTTTTTAGGGAGGGCTAACATGGAATTTGGGCTCTGGCCTTTAAAGTCCTCTGTCCAGGATACATGAGGGACCACCTATTCCCATGTGAGTATATCTATGAAGTAAAATGAGGGGAGTTCATTTTGTTCTGAACTCCAGCTTTAGCAGAAGCCTGGCTGGTGGGCGTGAAGGATAGTACCTTTTCTCTATGGAGACAAATAGCTCCTGTATCTCTTGAGAGATACCCGATCCCTTCTAGCTTTATTTCTGCTGAAGATTAAAGAAAGTTCGTTTCACCATCTTGCTGCTTTGGTTGTTATTTTGTTTTTTTCTCTGTTATTTTATATTACTTTGTTTCAAATCCTCTTGCCAACCTGCAGTAGTGTAACACAAACACAATTAACTTTTGGAATCTAAATGCCTTAAGAAGTCACTGAAGACATTATCTGTTGCATACTGAGTTCTGCGACTCAGCATACAACTGATAATATCACAGTGATTTCTCAACTTGGGACAATTTGCCTCCAAATATTACACTATTTGCGTAGCTACACAAGAGGTTTTACATTTTATTTTACTTTTTTATTCCGTTCCATTTATCTTCTTGTATTTCACTCAGCTGTTCCCCTTCTGGTCCCAAGTGTAACAAAATAAATAAATAAATAAATTCTAATATGAATACAAAGGCCACAAAAGCAGCACTGTATATATTACATAGGCAGATGTAGCTGTCATGGGGAGAGATGAAAGCATGGAAAGAGAAAAATGCATTTAAACACTTTTATATATGCTTAATGTTTGGTCACAGATGATGATGAAGATTAAGAGATTAAGTCAAAAAGAAAAACACAAAAGAGAATCAGTGTGATGCAGTAGAATTAGGGGTGCTAGGTTAGGACTGAGGAACAGAGATGGACACGAATTAAGTTGTCCCCATCCCAGGCGAGTCATCATCATGCCTGCACAGGTGCTGTGCGGGCACAGCGCCTGCCTTCCCTGCATGCTCGCCTGTTCCTCAGGCAACACATGCTTTCCTCCGGGCCCCAGCATGACTCACCTTTTGCAGTCTGCTCTTCTGTCTTCCACCTTCTCCCTCAGCCAGCCACATTAAGTTATTTAATTCATGCCCATCTCTACTCAGGGATTGTTACTGTATATGCCATGAAGTTGCTTCAGACTTACAGCACTCCTAACAAGGTTTTGTGAAATGTTCATAATAGCTTAGCAGTGCCAGCTTTTGGAGAGTTTCTATCAACATATAGAATTTTGAATCCTGGTCTATTGGGTCCTCGTCCAATACTCTATCTACTACACTGCACTGGCATTCTAGGTTCAAATTTCCACCTGACCAAAAAACTCACTGAGTGACTTTAGAAAAATTGCTGTTTCTCAGGCTATTGAGAAATTGCTATTTCACAGATTTGTTGTGTAAATAACTGCTGAGTTGGAGAGGTTGTACTTTGCCTGAGTTTACTAAAGGAAAGCAGAACACAAATATAATAAGACATTGTCTTCCAGTTTACAGCAGGCTACATTAGAGGATGTATGGCAGGTTACCTGGATAAGAAATGCCTAATAACACAGTGGTGCACGCATTGGTAATCTCAAAAAAAGAGTCTATAATGCTCTCTACATAGGGTTACCCTTGAAAGCAGTATGTGAACTTCAGCAGGTGCAAAATGCGGTAGACAGACTGATCTCTGGGACCAGTAAATTTGATCATATATCCCCAGTTTTAGCCCACCTTCATTGGCTCCCTGTCAGTTTCCACACTCAATTCAAGGTGTTACTTATGATCTATAAAGCCCTTAATGGGTTAGGACCTTGATACTTATTGGAATGTCTTTCCCAGAAAACAGCTACCTGTTTCACACACTCCTCCCAATCCACAGCATTGAAGGTAGCCATGCCAAGGAAGGCTAGAAAGCTCCCTAGAAAGCTGACCATGAGGAACTGGGATTTTTCAGTGGTGGCCCTTATTATGTGGAACCAAGTGTAGAGTACTCTGTCCCTCCCGATATTTAGGAAATTACAGAAGATAGAATTATATAGGCAGCCTTGAAGAATGTATCTTCAATTGCTATTAATTTTTACATTGTAAAATTAGGTTCCCTTTGTATTTTTACTTTATTCAAGCAGGTCATTTCATCATACTGATTGTGTTGTTATGGGAGTGGAGCTGGGTTTTTTTGGGGGGGGGATTCATGTTTTACCATGTACACCATCCAAAGTATGTTATTTATTTAATTTGTTTATATACCGCCTTTCATAGCAATGTATGGAAGTGAGAGCTGGACCATAAAGAAGGCTGACTGCCAAAGAATTGATGCTTTGAATTGTGATGCTGGAGGAGACTCTTGAGAGTCCCCAGGACTGCAAAGAGAACAAACCTAGTCATTTTGAAGGAAATCAAGCTTAAGTGCTCACTGGAAGGACAGATCCTGAAGCTGAGGCTCCAATACTTTGACTATCTCATGAGAAGAGAAGACTCCCTGGAAAAGACCCTGATGTGGGGAAAATGTGAAGGCAAGAGGAGAAGGGGAGGACAGAGGCCGAGATGGTTGGACAGTGTCATCGAAGCTACCAACATGATTTTGACCAAACTCTGGGAGGCCATGGAATACAGGAGGGCCTGGCGTGCTCTGGTCCATGGGGTCACGAAGAGTCGGACACAACTTAATGACTAAACAACAACAACAAATACCACCTTTCTCCCCAAATAAGCACAGAACAGACAAAATAAAGAATTTAAAAACACTATGTATCACATTTAAAAAAACAATTAAACATACATTAAGGTTTTTTTTAAAAAAAAATAAGTATAAAAACAATTGAAAAACATTTTAAAACCTGCAAGTTACAGTAGTGTGTATTCATTAATCAGGCACTATATAAATTGAACAAACAAACAAATAAATACATTGCACACAGAGCTGCAATCTCTAGCAACCTGCTGCCTATTCTCTATATCATAGAATCTGTCACCTCACATAGCAATCTTATTCTGCCTAACAGCTGGATCCAACCCCGAGGAGGGAAGAGAAACAGACAGTGGGCCCAAATCAAAGTTCTTGTCTTGTAATGTCATGAGGTGTTTACAGAGCTGTTATTACTACATGCTGCAGTAAATTTCAATGCTCTCCCAATCCAACTTCCCACTGCCTCAGTACTATTTACTCTCCACATGTGTTACACTGGATTTACCCTGCACCCTCATTTCTCATGCGCCATTTAGCGTGAGAGGATACATTCCTTCCTTCTATGCTTCAGATCACATGTGCTATGTTCCTTAAGAGCATATTCATTTCTAGTCAATGGGCTTGACTGTACATATAGAGAACAACAAAATGATCTAAGATTATAGTATTAGTTATTCTGAAATTTATGCAAGTACTTGCAAAACATGCTCTTAAAATTATCTGCATTTTTGCTATTTAGTCTTAAATACTGCCAAGAATGGGCCTTCAAGGGCACAATATTAAACATGTGTATAAGAAAGCCTCACCTAAGAACTTACATCATGTTCTGGATTGCTCGGCCCATCTTGCTGAAGATGTGTCCCACCCTGCCTGTTGCATTCACTCAAATCTAAAATGGCACACTTGTCTCATCACTACATTTAAGGAGCACTAAGTGGCTTGCTGATGGAGGGAAAGGGGGCAACGACTTGTGCAAGGGACAGCTCTATGCTTGCAGTAGCAATCAGTTCTAGAGAGGCGCCTGTGCATGTTTACTTTGTGTGTCCATACATATATGTATGTATATATATATACAGAGAGAGAGAGAAAGAGAGAGAGACACATATGCTATAATGAGAGAAGTACAAAAATTGAGTGATATTAATATTATCTGAATTTATCACTACATATAATCCTACTCACAGAAAAACTTGAATAGCACCATAAAGGAAGAAAACTAATGATTTGTGAATTCGTATTTGACCAGCAGAACTGAATGCATAAAAAGATTTCACTGATATTTTAAAGTGCAATGTCTGCTCCTTTGTTTTTATTTACCTTGTTACATATTTCCTTATGTGTGGTAAATAACAAACAAACAAACAAATGGGGAATCAAGACTGCCAAGTACTGTCTCTATGTCAGAATGCCTGAACAAATGAAACAGGTTCTCTATATCTAAATTCAATATGCTACCACTCACTGAAAAATACAAGCCCATCAAATTTCTTTCAATGGCATTTTCATACCTTGCATGAAGAAAGAACTAGGAAAAGTGCTGGCTGCTGGTTTTGAGGATGGGTATCCTGGTGAATCCCGATTGTAGTCGGCAGTGCTTGCAGAAGGAGCATAAACCTACAGAAAAAGAAAGGAAGTATGTTTAGCGTATATCAGGGATATTGGTAAGTCTTGGGACCTGAGTCTTCAGTCGAAGTCCACATCTCGAGGTCAAAGTATTTGGTATCAAGTCCCAAGTCTGAGTTGCAAGTGACTTGCCCCATCCTCTGAGGCTTGGGACTCAGGACTCGGTACCAAAGATATGGGCCTCCCATTACCCACCCCCAATGCTATCAGCCTACCTGATGCCGCCACCTCTGTTTGGGAGCTAGGCCACTGCCTCTCTCAATGCATGTGCTGACCGGCCAGTGCAGGCAGGCCCTCTGAAGCAGGAGGAAGTCACTTCAAGGGCAGCTCCTCCAACCTGTCTCTTTCTGTAAGTCCCCTGGTGATGCTCTATGGCAAGCTAGTGCCTTCTCTGTTTTCTACACCTGGTGATGCTCTATGGCAGGCTAGAGCGTTACCAGGGCAACTCACAAGAAGAAGCAGGTCGAAGGACTTGCCCTCTGACTACAGAAGGCTAGAGCATCACCATGAAAGGCCATTTGATGTGCCGCATTTGAAGATACCGGCAATGGCAGCAGGTAGGCCAATGGGGGCAGGGAGCCATAGGGACTTGACAACATAACTCAGACCAATGGATCTGAGTTGTAAGTTGCCCCAGAAACCCCCAAGGTGAGTCCAATTCAAGTCATGGCTGTGACTTAAGTCTGACTCGACAGCAAGTAGCAAGTCACAAGTCTCCGTGCCTGGTATATGTGAATATGCTTCTAAAAATGTCTGAAATATATTTTAAAGACAGTGCTTAAAATGAGGATAACATAATTCAGCTTATCTAGCTAATAACAGTACATCACATATCCTTTTTAAAATGAAAATGAGAGGGCGCAGAATCATAGTTCTTCATAAGACAAAGATGCTGAGAGCCTAGTTCATACTATACCTGAGTTTGGGTGATACCACTCAAGATAGACGTTGGGACCTTACAGACCTCACTAACTCCCTTGCATGAATATTATCCCTTCACACAACAAATCACTATGCCAGAGAGAACACAAGGCTAGACTAGAACACTCCTCCCTGACACCCAATTTTCTGTTTGAACAGACTTCTTTTTCATATAGAAGAGCACTCAATCAGGTTAGCTCCAAATAATGAAACACAAATTGCATGTTAGATGTAGTGTCAGATGTCTTTTTCAAGAAAATAGTGCCTTTTCTGTTTTCTAGATAACTGCAGATCTCCATGTTGTCATACTATGCCATTCCCCTGATACTCAGGAAAGCATTTTAAGTAGAGGACTGCAATGAGAAGGAAATCCAACAACTTGAATAAAACTTCTCTTCTTGCCTGAATCTAATTCACAAATTTACCAACTCATTGAGAACTATGCCAACTTCTACAGCATAAGTCATTTTGGAGGGAGCAAAACTTGTGAGGTTATCTTGCTGACAAGCAACCTCAATCTCTTACAAAACCTGGCAGAACATGCAACAGGGCCAGGCTATAAAGCTGTAAAATAGGAACAGAAAGCAGGGTATCGGTATGTCCTGATTTGTACAGGCAGTGTACTACTAAATATGGAGTATGTTCAATATCGGGGCAGTCAAAAGAGGATGTGCCTGTGAAGCTTGGAAGAACAGAACAATCAGGCACCCATTGCTGTAATGAATTATTACATCAGCCATGTCTAGCTGTAAACATTCTTGATGATGTAGGCGTTATGGCTCTGTACTATTATGGAATTTAAGATACTTCTTAAAGACCTCAAACTATCATACTGTATGAAAATATGCAGATTTCATACATTAAAAGAAGAGCCATGGAAGCAAGCAGGAAATCAGCCCTTTGTTCTCACAACTGAAAAACGAATTTAGAAAGCAGCACTCAAAAGTGCTGAAAATTCTAAACATATCCCGGGATATGAATTTCCTACGATCTTTGGTCTTTGCAGAGAAGTTTGAAAGAACCATTAAAAATCAGGATCGACACAAGACCACCAAGACAGTATGTGTGCACTTTAGGAGGAAGAAAGTTCTTTTTAGCAGTTTGCATATTTGTATGTGCAATAAACTTAGCAAGTATGCCAGAAAACTAATTTACTTAACAGTTGTTTACTAATACAACAGAGATTTTTCTAACCTTTTTTTTCACAAGACATGAAAAACATTCTCTGTCTCATGCATTTATTTCATCTCAAAATCATTTTTTTTAATGCCTAGACATTTTTAAATTGCAATTTAATGGAGAGAGAGTTTCTTTTTCTCTTTGGTTGACTTTAATGTATAAGCAGACATGTATATGTTTAAACTATATATTTCTGTTTTTCAAAGACCTCCCTATACCAGATGGTCAGGAAGACCAAAACATCCCCATCATCTTGATGAAAATGGATACCTTCCTGCCTCCATTTTGAAGCAGGCAGCAGATCACAAAATTGGCAGTGAGCCTATTTTGACATTCACAGGTCACAGCAAAGGGAGAAAAAATAATAATACAAGTGAATAGCAACCAGAAAAAGTGGAATAGAACCCCCAAGCAAATATCTTTAAAATATTACAATCCCTTCCTCCCTGAAATAAATAATGTAAGTAAAGGGGCTAATCCAGACAATAACAGAAATAATGATTTGTTTCATGGAATTCTAATGAATGAAGTACTTATACCTTAATGTAAATTATCTTATAAGGAGATTTTCACATGAAGGAAAATACATTTTAATATATCACTGTATGCATAGTCATAATAGAGAAACATGCTTGAGAACCTGGTGTTTATATATATGAAAGAATCATATCCTCAAAAAAAACCAAAAGAAAAAAAACCCACCACATAGAAGTGGGAAGGGAAGCTGGTAAAAGTGTATGATGTCATTTTTAATGTTTTATCCATTAAGCTTTTGTTAATTATTTATTAAGCAATCTTATTATGTACAAGAGCCCAGAGACCAATACAGTATATTCTTTTTTGGCCTTAGAACTAGGCAGCAACATATGCCAAGTGCAGGGCCTCCTTAGTACCAATGCATATCCTTGAACACAAGATAGATAGCAATCCTCATCCAATTTGAAACATTTTTATTTGAGTTGTGTTGGGCAGCAAGTCTTACTTCAGGTTTTGTTTTGTTTTTGTTTTACTCAGACAGCCAAAAGTTGAAATCCAACCCATACTTATATGGAAGTACCATGTTCTTCCATTTATAAGACACCCCCGTGTATAAGATGTCCCCGCTTTTCTAACCCAAAATTAAGAAATCTAAGTGGGGCTTAGCAAGTGTAGGGGGAAAGGGATCAAAGCACTGCAGGATCACTTTGATCCTGGCTTTTCCCTCCACTTGTTTTTGTTCTCTCCTCAGCTTACTTCCGTGTATAAGGCGACCCTCAATTTTTATTCTAAAGATTTTAGACAAAAGTGTATACACGGAAAAATACGGTAAATTTGACAGAAACTAGTGGAGATTACTTTTGAGTAGTCATGGCTCTGGTTCAGCTACAAATGACCTAGGAGTCACAAAAGGGGCATTTGGTTGTGAGCTAGGTCAGCCAATTCAGGTTTTTCTGATTCTAGACTTAGCTTTTAAAATTATGTTTATACTGTGTAATCCTTGGGGAAAGAGGAAGAGCTTTGGGCATGGGGAATAAGAGCTCAGGCCAGGAGCTGGCCCATTTGAATGGAGGCAATGCCATCCAAATTTAGGATGTTCCCTTTCCCTTTCAATATAGCCCTGACTAGAGGATGGCATGAACCTCCAGTTCATGCTGGCTCAGCCATCGTCTCAACAGGTGTTCCGCATTTCCAAGTCCCACCGCCTTTGGTGGGTGCTCACTTGAAGGTAGTGCCCCCAGCTTTCCTACTCTGCCACCTCTGGGTGCTGCCCCCAAGTGAGTGGTCGCTGAAGGAGGCAGGGCTCTGAACGGTGTCAGAAACGTATAACATCTGTTGCATCGATGGCTGAACCAGAAGTTAACGCCCATCTCTATTCCTGACTAATCATCGTCGTCGTCATCATTGTAATAACAAAGAGAAGTTCCAGTGTATGTTAATAGCTCTTCTTGGACCCATGTGGAAGTGGCAGTCACCATGTCAAATTCAAAATGGATGAGGAATTCAATATTTGAATTACAACATCAATGTAAAATATTACACACAAGCAGGCGTCCCAAAAATACCAGAATAATCTTGAACAATTTCTCCAGTGTCTCAGCTTTCTATAACTGGAGATTTGGATTTTCTGTACTACTAATTCGCCATTCTTGGAGTTCTGCCTACTTACAGGTACCTTACAAATACTGTATCAGAATGTGATGCACATGGGAGAAAGGCTTAAATTAGAAGGCTTTGAGGCCAGGCCAAGCTCTGCCAAAGTTTCCTACTCCAAAAAGCCCTACTGCAATCTGCAAGAAGGGGGTGAATTTCTAGAATAATACTCCTCAGTAATGTAGCACTTGACATAGACAGTTTCCTACTCCAAAAAGCCCTACTGCAACCTGCAAGAAGGGGGTGAATTTCTGGAATAATACTCCTCTACATAAAAGTTCTCAGTACATAGTAATGTAGCACTTGACATAGAGATATTATTTTCTTACACAGGAAAAGCAAATTTTCTCTTACATCGAAGTTTAATTTGTATAAGGTTGTTTTTTCATTCCCCTTTCCTGCAAACTTGAGCTCTATTACCTTATTTTGGAGAACAGGTACAAATGCTCTGGGCTTTTTGAAAGAGTGTTAAGTGGAATCTGGCATTAAAATGTTCCTCTTTGTTTCTATATTCTAACAGTCAACCTCATGTTTAAGCTGTTTATTTGTTTAATATCTCTATGATCTAAATTTAATGTAATAAAATCTCTTTGTGAAAACAAAACAGAGCCAGTTACCAGATCTTGAGGAAGGAAAACAAACAGGATAATGATACCGCACAGCCTCTCTTGCCTCTTCCACCAAGCTCAAGCCGAATACTCGCTTGCTCACCCTCTCACAAGCTCCTGCTCTTGAGCTCACAGAAACTCTGAGGGCAACTA